TCAAACATAATGACATTATACGGGGGGTAGGGGCAGTGGCTCAACTACGTGGTTTTAGGCCAAAACTTTAGCATTGGAATTGCCTGCAAGTTAGATGCGCCTGTTTCCGATCTTATTTCTCATACGCAGGAGCTTGACAAAAACCGGAAAGACCAATTAAATTTATCTCATTGGGGAAATTCAATTATACCTGCTCCTCAAGCCAACAATGTATTACGATATTCTATATATTTTGAGTTTATTAAACCTTAATAAATAGTCTACTCAACCGTGCGACGTTTATTTCAAGCATGTTACGATAGCTGACTGAAAATTTCGTAAAAAAAATAACACGAATGACATCAAATTATAACATAAACCGTGTGATGCGAGCATCATTTTCTAAATTTAGCTTTATAAATTTCCCTTTTCGTTGAAAAACGTGTTATATCACATTCTGTCATTTTTAAACTGTCAAAAACTTGTCAGAGATTTACTTGCCTTTTTATGCTTTTTCTGAGTATATCTGATGGTTAAACCAATCTCAATGGAACTAATCAGTGTATAAATTTCCTCACTATAGTAGCGTCTATGTCAAATTATCAAGAGGGGTAAACCGAAATATCTGTCTCTTCTTTCACCGAAAACTGTCAAAGAGAACGGAGGGGGTTGGATAGATAAAGTTTTTTCGAAATTTGTAGCTATTTCGATATTATTTTAGCTTCGCGAATGCATCAACACGGTATTTACCTGAAAGTTAGCTACGTCCGTATCCAAAAGGTTTTCTATACTCAGGAGTTCGACAAAAACAGTAAAGATCATTATCGTTTAAATTTATCTAATTGAAGACTAGGCTGAAATATATCTATTCCAGCCACTGATAGCTATTTGGACAGATGTCGGCTGGTGAATATAGAAAAAATAGACCCTGTTAAATGAGGGTTTTCTGCATCACCGCAGGTTTTTTAACCTATTTAGATACCTCTGATCTGCAAAAACCAGATATATTCAGAGAGATGAATAATTTTGTAGTTGAGTCATACCATCATTTTCTCCCTACACCATTTATATCATGTCTCCGGTTCCATCAAGTTTTTTTTTAACGAAACTGATCGGTCATTTAAAACTGCGTGCGCAAAGGTCACAGAGTCATGTATTTAAAGTCATCGTAAAAGGAATATTAATTTAATATTATGTTATGTGGAAAATCCCCATCTAACAAAGTATATTTTTTCTGACTCTTCTCTCGCCGACAACTGCCAAAATATTTACCAGATTCAGAAATAGAAAATTGAAAATCAGCCACACGTCTGATAGCGGCAATTAAGAATTTAATTATGAGTTTTATGGCAATTTCTTGAGCACGAATGACAATAAATTATGATATAAACTTTGTAATGCGAGCAGTTCTGATTCACATTCTAAAGTTAGATTTCTAAGTTTCCCAATTCATTGTAACACGTGTTACTGTCATTTTGAAACTGTCCAAAATATTTGTCAATGTCAGAGATGTATGCCTTTTTTTGGCATTAATAACATTGATGATTTATGCTTTTTCGAGAACAACAGTTTGTTAAGTTTCGCGAGATATCTTAAAAATCTATACTTGAATTTAGCACCTCGATCTGGGTTTTGCATATCCGTGATATCTAAATAGGTTTAAAAACCCTGCACATGCGGAGATGACGAAAGTCCCCAATTTACAGGGCCTAGTTTTTCTGTCTCTACACCAGCCAGACGCCCAAGAAGCTATCAGTGGCTGGAATAGAGACAGATGTTTCAGTCTACCTTACAAAATGACTGCATTATATTAAAAATTGTCAACTCAATCACATTTTGCTTCACCGTTGCCTTTTAAAAAATTTTTACAATGTCTTATTTTGCTTAGTTTTAACAGAATGGAAGAGTTGTATGATACTTGTGCAAATCAAATTGCTAAATAGGCCCTATCCTTATTTATGATAAAATGGACGGTTTCGAATACAATGAGGCGAACATTTGGTAAATCAAGTTTGTCCAGTAATACTACTACAACACGTGTCTACTGGACTAACTTGATTTACCAAATGTTCGCCAAACTGTATTCGAAAAGGGCAACGGTGAAGCAAAATGTGAAAGAGTCGATAATTTTTAGCTAGAAATGCCGCCATCTTGTTAGGGGAGATAACATATACTATGATGTTATTGTGGTCTGGTGGTAGGTTGGTTACGAATTCTCTTGCGGAAAATGGGTCATTTCCGGTTAACTCTTTCTGGAATTGTATGAACCACAGGCTTCGCACGAAAAATTGGAATGTCGTCCCAAATAGAAAGGTGTCCCAGATAAACATAAAAAAAGGCGAGAAAAACATCTTTACATCCCGAAGTCCGTCTGGGTATAGATGTCAAAGAATCTTGGCTTGACATGGATGACATAAATTCATATAAATTTATCCACGTGATATGTAACTATCCGTCTTAGATATTGTCATATTGTGGTTTTTGTGTCACCGGTTGTCTAGTACATTTTTACATGACTCAAACGTCGATTCAAAATGTAGGGCTAATAATAAAACTAGTAAGAAACTAGCCCGACAAATCTAGACATACCCGTTCAGCACGTTAGATGATGTACAGATAAGATATCGGCTCGTTTAAACTTACCTATATGCCACCCGTATATCACATCCGAGGCACTGGTAGTGTTAGGCTAGTGCGAAACGGGACTCTTGCGACCGCCTTATAGAAAATTTGTGACGATTATCGGTTGGTGTAGCTGAATCTATTGTACATGTGACAGATTCATCATCGTACCTTAGTCTTTGTTAGTTTAGCTAATCAGCAATTTCCAATGTAAACCTAGGCTGTAAAAATATTGAAGAAAATATAACCTACCGATATTGATAACTATCACTACAAATGACGGAAGTTAGAATACTTGTTTTTGTTTCTTTTGTGTGTTAACATACTTCTTGTTTGTTAACCGGATCTTGATAACAAAATAACGTAATTTGCGTGCCGGCTTCATATCAAGTCGTCTACAACAACGCGACATTTGATACTATATAAAAATAGATACCGTTATTTTATTACTGTAATGTTTTTATTATTTCTCAGTTTCAATAAATTTGTAAGGCCAGGGTGCGCCATATTCGGGTTATGATTTGGTTCTTGAGCACACATGGATTTGAAGGTTTAACTTTCATTGTGAGCTGCGAGCATTATACCTAACAAGTTTAGCTAAAAAATCAAATATCTCACTATCGAGACTTAAGTCAATCACTTGACAATCAGCCACTTGTATACCATTCAACTATGAAGGGACCAATCATACCTTAGTCTCAGAAGGGAATTGTTTTTAGATAAGCCAATCAGTAATAGTGTTCACAGCTCACCGATAAAATTTTAGCCTACAAAATCATGTTAACCAGAACTATCCGCGTTTGAAAGTCAAAATGACGAGTCGTCTTTTCTTAATACATGTATATAGAAAAGACATATATCAGAGATGTAAGTGACCATTGAATTCATTTCCTGAGCGTATATAGCTCTCGAGCTTACGGCCGGTGGTCCGTAGGCAACGTCGCGGTGGGGGTCGAGAGGGGAAGATTCCCAACGTCAGAGGTTTTCTGCATGTTTTACACTATATGATACACCATTTCAGAGGGGAAAATACATTCCAATGGAAAATTCAAAATTCTTTTGAGAAAAATGACTTCAGTATGAAAAACAGGTACCAATAATGGTATCGGAAGTTATCTTTAATACCAACCAACCTGTATTTCTTTGAGGTCTGCTGCCACCCTATCAACTTTCATGTCACAAAATTAATGTTCCGAATTATTTTCGAAAACAGCGTCAGAACTAGACGTCAACACTTTCAAAAATCACGCAATGTCACTATAATGAGCCAAGTTAACCACGCACACCCACACTGAAATAACATGGCAAAACAGGTTGCCATTTTAAAACACGTGCGCGGATACCAGCGAAACGGATGAAGACAAAAGATGAACACGAACAAGATGCTTTTAAAATACAAATGCACACACACACAAATCAATGGGTTTTTTTTTCGATTTTTCCGGGTCATTTATTGGCTTACCCAGAAAAGAAATGATTTTGCATCCCATTTCTGGACGTCTTACATCTCTGAATAGATATAGATGTCGGAAAATAATTTCCTAGTTTGAGATATTTTGAATGCAATAATCTATTACCCTTTGAATATTTAAGACTCAAATCAACACCCCCACCCACCCAAATGGCGTACCTGTCTTGTATTAGTCTTGTTATAATGGTATAACTCAATGAAATATAAAAAGCAACTCGAAATATAGTTCAGCATCAGATGAATCATAGGTCAGCTCAAGAGTGAGATTCACCTGTTAGAACTGATACAATGGCGTAACGCATGGGAATATAAAGAGCAACATGAGATATCAAATCATCGGGCGTGAGATCGGGAGCATATTATTATCATCGGTTGACATTGAGAAAAAAATAAATGAATAGAGTTTTACGTCCTACTTTTCTACACCATGTGGGCTAATGAAAACAGGCAACGCCTGCTCTTTTTCTTTACGACCTACTTTTCTACACCATGTGGGTTAATGAAAACAGGCAACGCTTGCTCGTTTACGATTTCAACGTGCTTAGCCAGTAGCACACGGGGCTTCGGTTTATTGTCCCATCTGAACAACTATACGCCTTTTCCATGGCAGCCCCTCTTACCTGCATCACTGACAGGGCGAAACTGGATTAAAAAATCCGAAGGTATTATCTCGACCTATGCCGGGATTGAACCCTGGGCCACCAGGTTAGCGAGCAAGCGTGTAACTCACGTGGCCACCGCGGCTCCGGGTTGACTTTGAGAGACATACTTAAGAGACTAAGAGGTAGATTCATATGGACAGAGACAACTCTATTTGATGGTAAATTGGACCCTAATGTCCGTGAAGCAAGATAAAGTGCTTGATAACCAGTCTTTTAAGATAAGAGTTCGACCTATCTGCAAGTTGAAATAAAGGGGCGTAACTACATTAAAGGTGAATGATATTATTTATTGAAAAAAGCTAACACTAGAAAACAATATGAAATAAATAAATAAGACATTAGGCTTTTGCTGGTGGTGATTGACCTTGGGCTGCTATCTGAGCTTGAACTTTTAACTGTAATATTTCTACTATGGCTGGAAAACAAAAGAAATATTTCAAGTAACAATAGAACAACCATTGTACCTGTATCCATTTATTGCTCTTACACACTAAAACACACTGAAATTAGATTTCAAGGGGGAGGGGGATGAACTGGGTTAAAAAATCTAAAGGTATTATTTCAACTCAAACTGGGATTAAACCATGAAACTTCAGATGAGCAAGCAAGCGTCTAATGCTGCAGGCACACGAGCAGTCTTTGTCGGCGATTTTTGTCACTAACATGAATCTCAAGTAAATCTCACTTGTGTCTGCGCTTCCACAACAAGATTATCTGTTGATGCCAGGATTTCTTTTATCAGATCAGTTTGATAATTGTTTTATTGCCTGCAAGACAGAGTGGCATCATCCAATCAGAGTCATTTTCCTTTTAATTGCATGATCCGCATAGTGAAAAACAACTAGCTGGAGATTTTTAGTCTCCTTGTGAGCCTGCAGACAGTCGATGAGTTTAGTCAGCGACAAAATTCACCAACACCATTCGTATGCCTGCAACCATACCAGATAACATATATATTTTATTACCTTGTTTAGCTTTATATTTCTCCTGTAATATTGGTTGTATTTTCTCCATTTGTTTTGAAATATATTCCACTTTTCTTTTAAAGTAATCTTTGCCTTTGTCTACAGACTGACAGAAATAACAGGAAGTTAAATATTAGGTCTATAAAGTGCTTGCTCTTAATTTTGACCAATTACTATAGCACAGTCAGTTAGAGGGTTGGTTCTTTACATGACGTCATTTGTTTGGTTTCGTCAAGCAAATGTGGGTTCAATTCTCCATCGGCTTGTGATAGTCTGATGACCTTGAATAAGTCATCTTCACTCATAATTCCAGTGGACCCAGCTGTAAATGGGTACAGATAATCCGGGAAAGGTCGATGCCAAGAGGTTTGGCCAAGGGCCAGCTGGTAGAAAGGATCCTTAACTGTGAACCTATGAAAATGTGTATTAATAAACAAAACTTACCATTTCAATATAATAACCAGTTCCTATTTCTATTAACACATTATCAGCATTACTCAACTGACCTGGTACATACATCTGGTTTAAATGTTAAAGAAGTATGTCAATACAAAGTATGTCTGTGACAGCTTCAAATGGTGTCCGGTCAAGTCGTGGACATGCCAACTTGTCGACAGTCAACTCGTCGACAAACATGACCAAGTCGTCGACAGATTTGACCAACTCGTCGACAAATTATGAGACGACTCGTCGACAGATCATATATTATATTTATGCAGATCATACGACAAATATTAAATGGAGGTGTGCAATAATCCTTGCGACTATGGAGTCAAGAAGATTTTATATCAACAATATATGATTGGCTTGGTTCTTTTCGAAAAAAACCTTAAATGCACTGGAATGCATCGAAAAATTGTTGTACATAAATTCTGAAATATATTAATTGAAAATTTCCTTTGAACTTTTCCGTGTATTAAAAAGGGATTGTGTATCAGGGACCCTTAAAAAGTATCAATTTGTACACCATTCCTATTTCCAATCAGACTTTTTATGGCTTCACTATCGCAAAAGTTCTCAACTGCAAAGGTTAGCATCACATACTCTACTACAATGCAATACTGTCCCACTTATCACATCCCCTCTGATATGTTTTGTCAAATAAACTAGAATATTGAAAGGATACAGAGCTTGTTAATGGAACTAAAATTTCTTTGTCCACATTTTCTTTAGTAACTTTATTCATACATTCCTGAGATTCCACAAACTTGCCCTGGGCAATTTTCAGTTGAGTTAATGATGTCTGAAAGAATTCTAATTCCTGGAAATAGAAAAACCACTTAAATACAAAGTTGACTAAAAGCACCAATTGCTGGAGCAAGTGTGAGATCAGAAATTTTTTATGTATCATATAGGCCAACCAAATGAAACGGATGCTGAGTCTGTTTATGAGTAAACACATTCAACTATTGACTACATTGAGCTATTGAGATATTTTTTTCTCTCATTTCATAAATATTCAAAATAAAATTTTCAACTCTATACCAATTGTCTTAGAATGTCTTTGGGTCCATGGTAATATAAGGTTCAGGGATTTTACATTTTAAATAATTACACTTTCCTCCCAGAAAATTCACGAAAAAATGACCCACTTTTCAGACTGAAAATTCCCCTCTGTAAAATCATGTTTACAAATAATAACTTTTCCAGTGGTTGACATTTTCATCAACCCAAAGACAATCGAAGACTCTCAGTAGTATTTTGTAATTGATATTTAAATCATTCAAAACTGATTGGCAAAATTCAATTCAGAAAACAGTGTAGCCAGAGAGTAGGTCGTCTTGTCTCAGCATACTGATTCGTGGCAAATCAACCCAATATGAAAAGTGAATTAAAATAACTTTTTATCAGAAATGCAGACATACTCTTTGTATGTGGCCCATATATGGCAGGTGGACCATACCAAAGTTATTAAGTAGTAAAAAAGAGTTGGCGAAGTTTTCCTTTTTGGGCAATTCCTTCTAGAAACTTTGTTTGTTAGCTGTGTCAGAGTGGCCTGTGTCCAACTTCACGTTTTATGGCCATACTCTTGAAAAATTATTAATCAAACAGATTAAAGACATACTTTTCGCAATTTTTACCCACCTGTTCTACTTGTTGAGCAAGTTGATTGAGTTGTTGTATAGGTAATTGAGAAATGTCAATTTGTTGAGGAGATTTGGCAGCCATGCTGGATAGTTTATTGTTCTCGATTAACAAGTGAATTAATATATTTTGATATTGGTTCGGTTTAGACTGGATGTTCAAGAACCGTAATTAGAACTGATTTTACCTTTCAGATAAAAGATTTCTATTTTCAGGGGACGTAACTATATGACAAATTAATTGAAAAGACTACAGTAAATTCAACAAGCTTTTACGTATACTGGATAGTTGTCAAAAAGGAAAATTATCTAAAATAGGTCTTCATCTCTTCTTTAATACATTAAATATTTCTCAAACTGTAGAAAGGTTCAATGGAATTGTCGAAAAAGCTACATGGAGCATTCATAATATATCATCATAGATAGGCCTATAGATTTTTCAAAAACAATTTTCCTTCGATTATTATTTCTTCATTACTACTATGTATCGCCCAGCATGTAATTGATCAGGGCGTGAGAACTATACAACCCAAGCCCACGAACAACCAGATATCTCTTGCGTATTGTACATTTCTGCATCTTCATTCTTGATGTTACGTTGGCTAGTTAGGATACGCTTCAGTTTCGATCAAACAACGTATTATCAAAATGGACTAACAACCCTTCAAAAATCACGACAGCTTTGTTCCCTGTCTGCATGTTAAAAGCCAAAACACACAAATGTGACAGTGTGGTTTATTTGACTGACCCTTTAAACAGTTGTTTTTTATACTTCACTGCACCAGCCAATCACCTGTAAATACCCCTTTGTTTTGATCTATTTATATCTTGGGATTCACCTTTCTGTCTGTCTTCTGGGGTGAGCTGTTTTCATCCTCACCCTAGCTACTGTGTGTATTAGATACCACATTTTCATCATTAACTTTGTAGAGTGGAGACTAGATTTGATTCCTTCACCAAATCTAGTTATTCAGTCAGCTATCTGATTAATTCTACATTATTCAGTG